GAACTGTGTGTACATTAGGACGAGAAGAGATGTGTACACAAAAGATAATATCTGGAAACGTAAGTTTTAATATTAATTTCTAGACAGTTTACTGAAATTTTTAATTTAAAATTTAAACCTTCGCGATGCTCAATCCATCTTTTATTTTCAATCTATTTCAACGTCAATTTGCGATATAAAATTAATCCGAGACATTATAATCAGTAAACATCCGTTCATCGCACAGTCAAAAATATACATATGAATATTTTGAGTAAAAATAATTAGAAATATTGATTACTATTTAATTACTACAACTAGAAGGAATGAATAGAAATGAAAATGCAAAATTCATCTTTTCATCCTGCCGGTATTCACTGGTTTATTCTTGAATAACCTTGTACTATTTATAGAAAACAAATAGCCGTTTAAATTCTCTATGTCAGTATCTCATATCTTATATGAAGTATACACACGTTATTAAAAAATGATCGAGTCAGTTATAGTATGCTTTTCTGGCATCGCACCTGGAAGCTTCAATATTTTTTTTTTGTTCATTAAGACCGCATCTTTCACGGCCATCCGGCACGAGTATCTATTGCTTATTGCAGCTACGTGCCCAATCTCGAATCGTTTTAACAAAAACCATTTCTTATTTCCGAGCATTCTTTTTATAGGCACGTATAAGTACATATATCCGTGTTAATATGCAAACAAATGCTATCTCTCTCATTTCCTAACCGATTTAGAATTTTCCTCAAACAAAAAGCCTTGTAAGAAAGTATCTAAACTATTTTTAATAATGTTCCAAATATATTTTTATTTTTTCAATTTTATCTTATCAATTCTTTATATGTATATCAATAAATAATCTTGAGAAATTAAAAAGAGATAAAAAATCCATTGTATCATCAATAACATAAAAAATTTTCATTAAAGCAAGATTTGTTCAAAATTATCTAAAAAATCAAATTTTTTTATCGTTTTCAGGTTCTCTTTTTTATTTCCGTAAAACTAAAAAACTATTGACATTCGGAGATAAAGGCAATAATTCTCGTTAATTAAATGTATCGTGTAACAGAGCCTCTTTACAACACCCCGTATCAATGAGCACTCCAAATCGCAATCGTTTTGTGATTGCAATATTAAGTGCAATCAACATGCATGAATGCTGTTGCGTCAAAGTTTTACGAAACTGGAAAACGCAGCTGTCGAATTGTTTTTGTCGAAGCTGTTTTTGCGTCAATCATTCAAGATACTTATATATTGTCAGCAATGCTTGCGTAAATATTGATCATTTCTCTCGTTAATTTCGCATATTTATGTTAAATGTAACACTTTCGGTACAACAAAAATTATATACGGACGATCGTTACATTTTACATAAAGGAAAAAAGAAACATTGAGTCGATTCTTTATTTTATCAAACGTCACAAAGAAAGTTCGCACGATGTACTTACGTTATAAACGTTATATTTATATACAATCTTTCCGCTTATTTTTATATGTGATATTTCTTCTTATGACATGATTTCTTTTCCATAAATCTCAGTGAAATGTACGCGAAAGAAGAAATTGCATTTGCCAAAACGCGTAAAATATATTTGCCTTGTTACTTTTATATAAATTATCTCCAATTACAAGATCAATCGGACTTTCATAAACAGCAAATACCTACATTATATTTGCACGATAGCATAAAACGTTATATAATATACAGCGTCTTATCTCTAAACAAGGACAGAGAGAGAAAGAGGCTATTCTGTGAATACATCCGTACGCAGTACCATTTATAATTGGATATTTTCGTGCCGATTTTCGATACGTTTCTCATTGATAATAGTGGTGTATTTTTAGATCTCCCATAACACTTGCAAATGCGTACGGTTGTTCAGCGAACGACGAGAGAATAAGCTACCACTTTTCCGCATGTCGATTAACTTGTTTGCGCTCAAAGAAACGCGGATTGCTGGAGCTTCGGCATTCAACTCTTTCGTTATACACACACACACACACACACACACGCGCGCGCGCGCGCGCGCGCGCGCGCTCACAGCTCACATATATATATATATATATATATAAGTAGATAATGCGCGGACAGAGAATACGAAACAGGTCATTTCTGTGGATCAAGACCATCTACAATTTCTCGAACATGCTAAGTTTTATCGAACGAACATTAAATTACATAAAATTACTGACGTCAAAAATAATTCTCGTGAAGCTCATGACGCGACGTTTTATAAAATTAAAACATCACATCGGTTCCCGGAAATTTAAAACAAGCTTCTCTCGATTGAGAATAACATGGCTGGTTTCGAAAGCGCACAAAACCTGCGCGTTTCAGCCGTGTCATGTCTCGTTGTATACCAGGAGAAAGTGATTAAGATCTCCCCCCTTCCTGTCGTGATATTAACTCTTCACCCTTTTGCTAAAACGCGTATACGAAACTTACACGGAACTACAGCAAATATTAGGGAATAAATAATGCGTTCTTTTTTAGCATAGAATATGTGTGGGGGAAACGAGAAACGATTCGCAAGATGTGCGATTTAGACATTTAGTGTATCCCTCTTAGGAACAAATATACATAACACTTGTAAACGGAAATAAAAGAAAGCAAGTTCTCTTTTTCTCTCTTTGGCACAAAAACTTTGAATGTCTATAAAGTTTTTTCGCATGAAGAACAATATCACTCGACAACGGAGCGTAAGGTCGAAGTCCGAATTATTCGCGTCGAGAGTTCACCGTTATGTGCTTACGTATGAAAAAAATCATCAAATAAAAATTACTCGTCGAATCGTCAATGAATCTAAGTAAAAGATAGCCTAGATATTGATCTTAAAATGTAGCGAACATTAAAGCGAAAATCTCAATATAGAATATAAAATCTTAAAAACACAAGGATTGGAAATATTTCATCTGAAAATATATACATATAATACACGCACGCACGCACGCACGCACGCACGCACACACGCACGCACGCACGCACACACACGCACACACACACACACACACACACACACACACACACACACATCTGTCATTAATAAAATTGAGGCTAATAATATGAAGGCCATATACTAGGCCATACATATGGATTTATGAGAATTTTGGAGAAATTGTAGCTCACTTTGGTCAAAATATGAGGACTGCCATGAAAATTGGAAGATCATTGTTAAAAGAATATTTTTGTTTTTCTTTACTTTTTTCTTTCTTTTTATCTTTTTTTTATTTTACTTGTCATAAAAATTTTTTTCTCTCTCCTTTCATAAAGTTAATCGTATCAAATGAATTATCTGCGATAAGGAAATAAATTTTCACAATACAACGTAAAAATGTGTAAGTCAAAAATTTATAATTTAATAAACTGCCAGTTTTTACTCAAAACTCTCGAATATTTAACAGATAGGGATTGTCTAAAGTTTTAATGGTCTTAAAAATTTAAGCCGTCTGAATTTTTAAGTTATGAAAATCCATTTAATGATTTTTCATTTATTATATATCATTATAATGACTCGCCGTACTCTCTAAATTTCTTGGACTAAAATCTCATTCCAAAAGAGTGAAAATATTGCCACTATCAAAAAATATATATATAAATATATAAACTCTTTTTCATGATAATAGCAGTTTTCATTCTTTTGGAATGAGATTTCATTTCTAGAAATATAAAGAATATACATCATTAAGGCACAGACTTAAATTTACCAATTTAAATTTATTGAAAAACATTTTACATGTCAATGTATTAATATGTTAATGTATTAAGAATTATCTCATTTCAAAATTCTACACAATTTAAAAAGAATAATTTAAAAGGAATAATCAAATTCTCAGAATTCTTAAAATAAAATATTAGAACAGAGTATCTATAAAATATAATGCGTTCTTCAAAGTGCTTTTTGGTTTAGTCATTTTCGTCATTTTAGTGTCAAAAGAAAAAGTAAAGAGAACATATCTATTTCTTCAAGGAACCAAATCGTGTCTGCGATAAATTAATACAATACATATCACAAATACATATTACAAATTATGAATTTTTACGATTACCAGCGTTGCAAATGCTGTGCCGCAACCCAGTAACGAATAAAGAAATATTAAACAATCAGATCGATACCTAATGGGTTTTAAGAAGCCTGTACTTTATACATACAGTGAATGCAAAAAGTATTCGTACAGAGAAAATCTTTTTTAAAAAAAACTTTACTTTTAAAAAGTAAATATAATATTATCCAGCGAGAAATGAGTCATCGAATTGATATAAATATATCTCGAATCAATAGAAATACGATGATTTGACATCAATTGGACGTCAATTTCATTTTTAATAGACGATCATTTCTTGTTGGATAATTAACAATTTATTAATTAAGAATAAAATGAACTGTATGTTTCTTAAAATTATATATATCAAAAAGATGTGTATTAATTATACAAAATATATCATCTGAAAATTAAAAATTACATTGTTTGAATGCTCAAAAAATATTCATATAGACGAGAAAGTTAGCTTCTAAAATCAGGAATACATGCGAAGCTCGTTTGTTTATGTTAGAACAGAATGTACTCATTGTATAAAATTGCTAATTAATGTTAATTTTCTACAAATAAGACTTATAACAAATTCGCTTGTACAAATACTTTTTGCTCTCACTGTATGTATTTACGATCTGTTGAAGCCATTGCTAAATATCATGCACAGTAAACATTCTGCGCTGGTCGGCATAAATTCCGCGTTTTAAAAATGCTACACACTGCTTTTCCTTTACGTTTCAATTTCTCGTATCTGTTTTTCAGTTTAACGATGAGTATGCAAAATATGATACTTGATACGAAAGACGATTGTTTTCGAACTATCGAGGGATGATGATAAGTAAGCTTGAGACACCGAAGAACTAATCATCGGATGAGCAAAGTATGAATAATGAAGACTTTCTTGTGCGAGAACAAAAAGATCCGAAGATACGATGATGATGTAACATCATTATCATCGATGACAGAGATGGTTTTACCTGTGTCACAAACAGATATTTCCGCATCATTCCAATTTTCAACGATGGTAGAAGGACTGGTAGCACACTCAACATTTGTCGAATCCTTGGTACAATCGATTATTTCAGGGCTCTTGTGAATATAAACGACTGCTTTTGAGTTCTTGTGAATGCAGACAGGTACCTGAGAGTCAATGTTTTTCTCGTAATTTTCGGGAATACAAAGAACTGCCGAGGAGTCCTCGTGGGTATAAACAAATTCCTTGGGGCCTTCAGGACTGTGAACTATCTCGGATGTTTCGCTTACATCACGTTTGGTTTCTTCAGGATGTTTGATGATGATGATGTCGTCTTTAGCCTCGTCAGAGTCGTTAACGTCAAGATCGTTTATATCCTCAACAAGACCAGAAGAAAAGGAGGATCCTTGCCTGCTCTCCTCCCAGTGATCCGATCGTCTGGTCTCGTTAATGATCAAAATACCAGCGGTATCGACGCTGAGGAGCGCCCCATAATGATTGTAATTACTGAAGATGACATCACTGAGGTCACCGCAGTTTTCCTCGAAATAACCGCTTTCCTTTTTCGATGGAATCGAGACACTGTCGTTCGCCTGCACCGAACTCTCATCTTCCTCCATCGCGAAATTGCGGACTCGGGGTACGATTTATGCCGCGTACGTCACTGTCGTCGCGGCGCAAGCAATGTCAGTAGGAATAAAGATAAAAAAGAAGCAGAAAGAAAGAGGCAGGGGACGGTAGATCGGCGATCGACATGTGCAAGTCGAACTTTTCACGATCCCGTTTCTTATTGTATTGTAACAACAAGCAGTTGCTCCAGTTGAAAATTTTCTTCTGCTTCTCGGTGAATAATTACTGATCGCGATTGTAATAATGATCTTTTGGAAAAACTCTTAAGAGATAACTCGATAATTATTGTCTCGTATCAATCGGCTTTGATTTCTGATAGATTTTTTTTTATTAACTTGTATCTGCGTTTTCGATTCTAGCGTGATCACGACACAGTCGGTTTCTACTACTTCATATTCAAAAATGTATTATTAATCATGTACGAGTACAGTTTACATGTTGCACTTTGACTGAACTCAAATCCTTCTCTCGGGACTCGTGCACTAATCAGTTGAAAAAAACAACTGTAATTTATCTCAGCAAACATCGATATCGCAGGTGATCTTTACGTAAACATCAATAGCTTATAGTCGCACCGTAGACACTGTACTTAATTGTTTGCACGGAAACGAACGTCGTAGCTCGTGATGATCCGGCAGAAGCGTCAGTTAAACGTAAACGTCGTCGGTTATCCTACTGACACACTTAGGAACCACGCACGCAGCATGCGGCGCGGACGACACGCTCGCAGTCGACTGTTCGCACGATCGTTGTCGAATGCTGGGGGGGCCTTGACCAGATTCGCGAATATCTCGCCTCGTTTTCTTCAGGAGTATCGTTCGGTCGAGAACGTCGTCGCGGTTGACGAGCTAGCTGACGAGAAGTCGCGTGTTCCGGAACATTTAGGGAACGTCGACTGTGAGCCTAATCGTGCGCGATCGCAACGTGTTGATTCACCACACGCGCACTTTTATCGGCCTGACATCGGAATGTAGTACATCTCTGACCAATGTCGTATCCTCGGAGTTTTAGGCACAAACGACAGCTACAAGTTCTCATCGGACGCTGTCTCTAGCCGCGTTTCTCGACGAGGATGTCGATCACGGATACATTGTTGTTGAACAATTCCGAGATCGAAGGTCGCGAGTGTGCGGAACGGAAGATGATAATTCACGCAACGGAAGATGATAATTTTGTAAACCTCGTCTATGTGGGATTAGTCTCGCTTTTATAAAGTTACACTTTCACTCGAAACGGGCCGTATTTCGATAACGCGCGAGATCAACAGTCCGTGTCCTCGCGAAAGTAACGACCTCCGTGTTGCCGTAACAAGCGCACGACACTGCGACAAGATTATCATGCCCGTTACGCGTATGTATCGTATGAATTACACGAAGCGCAAACGAGAATTCACATGACGTACTCTCCCTGCGTGATCGTTGTGGACTAAAGAACTGTGAAAACCTGACCGACGGACCCTACACGAGCGCTTCACCCACCCCCCCGCCTCCTACTTTCCCCCCCTCCCTCTTCCTCTCCCACTGCGCGAGTACTAACAGCTGATTTGGAAAACACCGAGGCCCCCTTTTCAGGGACGGCTCTAGTGCAATGCTGTGCCCCGAGGTTACATAACGCGACTCTTTGACGTCGATCATGCAGAAATGAATTTTCTTTGAAACACAATTAAAATTAATGTAACGATCGCAGTCGTATAAAAAAAAAAAAAAAAAAAAAACAATATCAAGGCACGTGTTATGAAACTGTTCGAAATGAATTCTAATCGAAATAATATTTTATCATTTTCTCTAGAAAATAAGTACAATAAAAATCTAGGAAATAATTGAACAATTCTGATCGTAATCCATTTCGTACAGGATCTTATTTGTAAAAAAAGATTGCATACGAAAATACTAGGGAAATCTCAAGGGAAATCTATAATATACGTAATATTGATAATATTTTCCTTAATTTTCATATGCAATAGTTTTTAAGATTAAGGCCTCAGTTCCATAATATTATTAATTCCATAATATTATTAATTTTAAAAAAATACACATTATGAATGGAATTTAGGCATTTTTCTATAGAGATAACTTTCTGCTCGCTGTGCGCTATGCATTGACTGCAATATTGTAATTCGCATTCGTGTAATTCATTTAAAGCTGATCGAAAAACATATCGCCATATCGAATACACTGTAAAAAAGCGGTATGTAAAAATCGCAAAAACAACATATATTCCATTAAAAATCGTGTGATTTTTAACATTTATTTTTCACATAATTATATCGTTTTCACAGTATATAATTGTTAATTAGTAAAATATGAAAATTCTAATATTTCGCCAATCGTTAGTTAATTGGATATGTAATTAGAGAGAAATATTACAAAAAGATCCATCATGTAAATGATATTTAACAACAGTTTCTTTATTTGTTCAGCTGGATTGACAGATAATTTCGAGAAGATTTAAAACCGCATGATATTTTTCAAAAGATAGCTGAGATTTTTTCACTAATCCTTTTAAAATAATTTTATTAAATTATTAAAGTAAAAAAAAGAATGTTTTAAACAAAAAATTTAAAAAATTTTTAAATAAGAATTTTATTTTCTTAAACGATGGAATTTTTAAATCAAAAAAAAGTTTTTTTATTTGATTAACCATAAAAATAAAACTCAAAAGTTTTAAGACGTAACTGTATGTGTTTTGAAAGATATCGATGCATCGAGAGGTACACGGAATTTTGACTTTAACACACTTTATCAAGCAGATATTGACTCGTGATATATACATAAAAGTTGTTGAACGAAAACTGTAAGAAATGTCATCTATAACCAAAAGTATACACAAAAAAATATCATACTATTGCTAAGAAAAGTGATTACTCAGTTTACTTCTTTTTGTTTTAAGAAATGATTACCTCTAAAAAAAAATATATATTGTTGATAATAGTCTTAGAATTACCTGTACATATTATAAATTTTAAAAATCTTATTATCATACTCAAAATAAATATTTTTTTTTCTTTTATAAAAAATATATTATAAAATTTTATTATAAAATTTTATTATAAAATTTTATCAAAGAAGCGGACGTATATAATAAGTAAATCAAATTTGTTTTAACTTAATATTCTTGATTAAAGTATATATTCTTACTAGAATTTAGAATATATTTTAAATAAATTTGGTTGTGAAACTTATGATGGATTTGCAGATATATAAATTTTTGAAATACCTGAAACAAATAATTGATATATTTAGATACAGTATATATTTTTCAGTGTATAGTTGCTGACTTTTTATCAGAATTTCGCGCTTCGTTGCGATTCTTTTTCAAAAATTCACCAATTGAAATGATCAAATTTGAACGTTTACAGAACGTTCAAAATATAATAGAAAAGAGAAATGCGAGCATTTAATGAATTATTAACGTTTAATAGCAAAATATAATAAATGACAAAATATAATAGTACAATAAAAGATGTATAATATATTAAATTTTCCTGGAGAAAATATGTATAAATATGTATATGGATTTTGAAATTAACTTTCTCGAATAAAAAAAAAATCACAATTTTTCGATAATTAAAATGAGGTGTAAAATTTATGAGAAATATTAAATATAGTTTAATATTATTATAATTTAATATTACGTATTTACAGAGACACAGAGCTATTCAATTCATCGCTTACAATCGTATAAATTTACAAGCCGATAATGCGCTTCGCTTCAGTATTCAAGCATACAGGATTAAAGTTCAGAAAATCATCATCGTGCTCGAACTGGTTTACCTTTAACCTTTAAATATTTCATAGGGTTTCAGTGATAGTATGTTAGTATGAAATTTCCCTTTTAGTGCACTGGAAAGAATCTGACTATATTAATTAGAATTCTGGTTGAAATCAGAATTTTTTAGTTGAATCTATTTTAATTCTAGCATTGTATGTGAAATAACAAGAATTCTAATTGATATGATCAGAATTTTTTAGTTCAATCATTTTCAATCTGAAATTTTTTTCAGTGCATATAATTTTCGATTTATCGAAATTTACAAAATTATCGTGATTGCTATATTAAGCGTGTGATTATTATTT